GTGCCTGAAGGACTGCAGCCCATGGAAAGGGCCCACGCTGAAGCAGTTCGTGAAGAACTGCAGCCTGTGGGAAGGACTCATGTTGGAGAAGGACTGTATCCCATGGGAGGGATCCCACGCTGCAGCAAGGGAAAAGCATGAGGAGGAAGCATCAGCAGAGACAAAACGTTATGAACTGACCACAACCCCCATTCCCCATCCTCCTGCACTGCTCAGGGGGAGGAGGTAGAGAAGTCAGGAGTGAAATTCAACCTGTGAAGAATTGGAGGAGGGTGTTTTTTAGATTTGTTCTTATTTGTCATTATCCTACTCTGATTAATTGGCAATAACTTAAATTAATTTCCATAAACTAAGTTTGTTTTGCCAGTGACAGTAATTGGTAAGTGATCTCCCTGCTCTTATCATGACCCACGAGCTTTTCATTGTATTTTAGTCCCTCTGTCATGTTGTAAAGGGGGAGCGATAGAGCAGCTTGGTGGTCACCCAGCAGCCAGGCACCACATTGTTAAATGTGATATTTAGTATGTCATGTGGACACCTACCCCATATGGGGCAGGGTCTGAGTCTCACCTATTTACTTCATGCAAGCCTTTGAATGGTAATGTGGAAGAGAAATGCTTGTAGTCAGTAGCCCCAAGGGTTGGACTGGAATTAGTGTTTTTGAGAGGAAAAAGTCTCCACATCCCTTTACCCAAACCCTTTACCCATCCCATCCCACTGACCTGGGCCTGGACTGCGATTGGTGTCCTAGGAATGAACAAAGAGAATCCATATGCTATTCTCCTTCTCAATGGTATCACTTACTGGCAACTGGACAGACTGCATGTAGAATGCTGCTGGCATCTGAGCCACAACTGGAGAGGAGGCTGGGCTCTTCACCATGTGGGCTGTGCCTTGAACTTGTGCCAAATTCACCCCTGTGGTGAGAGGAGGAGCTTCCTGTGAGGATGCTGGAGCTGTAGATGATGACGGGGAAGCAGCATGGGCTTGGGAAACAGGCTGGACCACAGCTGGCATTCCCCGGGATGTCGGCACAGCTGCAGCAATCTGAGCCAAACCCAGTGCTTGGGCTTGGCCTGAGCCCTGCTGCCGAGTACCCACCACCTGTACTGGGATGTGTGGTGGAGGCTGCTGGGCTGCTGACATTTTGGCAGGCCCAAGCTGAGGTGGTTTGATGGGGGTGACCAGAGATTTTGACTGTATTGGAACAGGTGACTTGGTGGCTGGCTGGCAAGAACTGTCCTGCTGGAGCTGCACAGGCTGTGGCTGGGACTGCAACATAGGCTGCACCACGAGGGTCTGAGCCTGCTGCTGGTTTTGAGGTGGAGCCTGCTGCTGCGGAGGTTGAGCTTGCTGCTGCTGTTGGGTCAGAGACGGTGCTTGCTGCTGTTGCTGCTGTTGGGCCAGCTGGAGATGGGTGGCTGTGTGGAGGAGCTGGGACTGGCGGTGCTGGAACTGCTGCTGGTGATGAATGGCGATCTGCTGCTGGATCACCACCTGCTTCTGCAGGTGGATCTGCTGCTGCTGCTGGATCAGCGAGTGTGGCTGGATCTGCGTATAGGTGGCTATACGAGCACAGAGTAGGAAAAGAGGAGAGCACAAAAGTTAGCAACAGTGCAGCTGGGAACAACAACGACAAAAACAAGGCAGGCAGCCGCTGCACCGGTTTGAGTCGTGAAGCACCAAAATGACTGACGGCTCACTGGCAGAGGATGTGAGGGACTAAATCAACTTCTCTTGCTAACAGAGAGGGATAATCCCCAGAGACAAGCCCCCCAGGAGCCCAGAGGCTAGGACGCGTGCTGGAAAACCAATGGCACTCTTGCGAAAGCCCTGTGGGCTCGAAGAGAAGGAACAGGTCTGCGCCTACCTGAGCTGATCAACGTCTGGCTGGGTGCTGGTGTAGCAGTCCTGGTCAGGTTCATGCCCACCGTTTGCTGTCCGCCACTCTCCGTTTCGCCCTTCTTTGTGGCTGCATTCTCTGTCTCCGTCTGGCTTCCCTGGCTGACGGTCACAGCCTGGGCAGCTGCTACCGGTAACGGCTGAACCACCCCTGTGCCTTTCCTTTGGCAACTGCCGGCGGTGCCTGCCGAGGAGGTCTGGCTCAATCCCGTTGAGGTCTGGCTCCCACCACTTGCCACCACCCCTCCAGAGACACCGTTGCTGCCTGCTGACCCCTGGCTCAAGTTGAGGGACTGGCCTGCGCTGCCGGAGGAGGCCTGAGCCACTGCCAAGGTCTGGCCCGTGCCGGTGGCCTGCGGTAAGCCCGAAGCCTGGGAGCTTCCTGGCAGAGCTGCCTTCTGAGCGGAGCCTTGGAGCTGGGCGTTAGTGGCCGAGGTCTGCTGGCTCCTCACAGCCAAGTTCTGCACCTACAAACGCACAGACAAAACAGAATCCGTTCGTTTTACGTACGTTACTTGCTGGAAGTCTGGCAGAGAACGCATAAGCAACAGGCTCTACTGGGACACAGGCTAAGATCAAGTCTCACGTGCGGAGCTGGCTAACACTGCAGGGCAAAGCTCAGGCGTGCTCCTCCCCAGGAAACACATTATCCTGAACTCCCTCCTGCCCCATCTCTGATGGAAGTTAAAGATCTTGTGGCACTTTCTGAACAGCACGTGAGGACACCGCCATTCTCCGAGGCATGGGACAGCCTTTGGACTGCCTGCCGTGCCTTTGCACTGGTAGGACTCAGTTTAGCACAGCTCTAAAAGCACTGAGATACCCCTTTAAAGACCAGTCTTCATTCCTTTTCAATTTTTGTGCCACCTGCTTCCTCCCCCTGTGCAGGGCTTTCCACTCAGCAGGCTCACAGTTCTACTCATGGCCTGCAGCCCTTCTGATTTCACCAGTTCCTCTGCATTTTGGTGCTGCCATCCTCTGTATTTACTCCTCCTCCAAATGCAGTGTCAGATCATGGCTGACTTTCCTTCAGAGAAAGTGCTCCAGACAAGAAAAGTAGGAAGTAACTGGAAATCCCAAGAATGTCTGGGATAGGACAAGGAAAATGGGAAGCCATGGTAGCTCCCTGACCTGGAGAATTCCTTATAGATGAATGCAGGAGCTAAGACCTTGTGGCCTGTTCGGTCTTTGGCATCTTTACAACAACAAACCAACTGGGTGAAGGAATACTACCACTGGCAAAGAGTCTTCGTTGCAGAGTGACTGAAAACTGGACATAGAACTCAACGATTCTTTTCACACAAGGACAACTGAGAAACTGTGAAGATGGGATTGATCCAGCATGGGGCTCACCCCAGAAATTTTAAGCAGAAACTAATCCAATCTCTGGAGGCAAAAAGCAAATATGAAAAAACGGTGGCAAGAGAGAACAGAATCTCCTACCTGCACAGGGACACAGGTTGGGGATAAAATAGAGCTAACCTGCTATACAGGGACGGCTGGAGACAAAGAGCAGAGTGTGGGGTGATGGAGAGCAGGGGAAGGGGAGGACTGTGGGAGGGGGTGTCACTGACCTGGTCTGTGTCTGCATGGACCCCAGGAGACTGAGTGGGTGGTACCTCCTGCTGGACAGCGGCCACAGCCCCGTTGGGCATCAGGATGAGTTGGGAGGCAAGAGGCACATTGCGGCCCAAGGTCCGGTTTACCTGCAACAGGTTTCCCAGCTGGGGCTGTTGAGGGAGGGTCAGGTGCCGTGGAATGAAAGGAACGGAGGGAAAGAGAGAAAGAAAGACAGCGAACCACAAGCAAACAAGTTACAAAGCAACACTGGGCTGCAATGTCACACACTGCAAAACTGTAACGCTGAACATAACCGTCGGGAGCAGGAAACTGGGAACAGTTTCCTTATGGAAACAAGCACCCTTCTATCAAACATGGGCCTGGGCCAACTCCCACAGACTGCCCAAGGCTGGCTAAAGACTGGGGTATCATTGAATTTTCAGGTGTATATCTGGGACTGGTAGAGAAACAGTGATAAAAGACATACATCCAACACAAGGGTTGCTTGAAAAGAAGGGCATTGCAATCTGTATCTAAAGTCAACTGAGACACAAAAAATATTTTTCAGGTAGGTAACCAAACCCCAGTCTGACTATATAGTCAAGCCTAATGTTTTCTATTTAGCAGCACTTCAAAGCTATTAGAAGGATGCCATATTTGTTCATGTTGATTTATGTTTCTAGACTTACTTGAGTTCTGACTTATGTCCCTGAGCTCAGCAGTGGTAAAAGAGAGTAATTCACCATATATCTGTTCCAGTATTGAACCAGAAGAGTAGCTTTTTTCTGTGAGCTATATTCGAGTCTAGGACATATATTTCACATTTACACTCTAGTGAGAAGTGCCATGGGATCTTTAACATCTATGCAGAGCAGAGACAAATATGGTTCTTAACGATCTCACCTGAGCCACACAATACAAAGCTCATCTACCCTCAAAAGCTGAGCCCAGAGTCAAACTCATGGTTTCAGGGACAAGAGCTTCCCCATCTGAATTTAAAATATAGTGCCTCTTCCTTAAAGCTACAGTTAGTCCAAAGGTGTTGGTAACCCCAAGCAGTGAAACACTGAAGTGGCTACGAAGCGGGGCTCATGGTCAAGACACATTTTGCGTACACATCTCTTACCCGGAGATACATCTGGGCCTGCGACTGGTTGAGAGGCGGTGAGGTGGTATTCCCAAGGAGCACAGACTGCGTCAGGGTTGTGGCGCTGGGGGAACTCACGCTCTGTGACCGACTGATCAGCTGAGCAGCTGATGTGGTGGCTAGGTTGATCTTAAAACAGAGAAAAGCTCCAAATGATATATGAAGAGACAGAGGCAAAGAAAGAAGTACAAATTCACTTACTGGGGTACAGCCAGAACAGACATTTTACAGTTTTTCCCTGTATCCCACAGGGAACCAAGAAGAAAAAAGTTCTTGTCTTAGAGGCTACGCAATCTAAACTAGCCAAAGCCCTGGATGCTAACCTCATTTGTATGCTGAGACCGAATATCACTGTTAGCATGCAACTGCAGTAAGAGATCCAAAAGAAATACATCATTTTCTCCAGCCTCTCAAGTCAAGGAAAAAAACCCACAAAGTAATCTCCACCCTACCAACTCACCTACTCTCTGAAAAATTCCCAGTTCCTCAATACTCACTACAAAACCAGACTTCCTCTCATTCAACAAACTCTGCCCAAGAAAAAAAAATGCATTCCATTTCAAGCTGCTCACAACTCCTTCTCCTTCTCAGAAGTCCTGATTCTTTTCTAATCCATGACAACGTATCCCCAAAGCCTCAGCAAAGAGAGATCAGTGTCTACCTTTCCAGCTAAGAGGCCTCTCCCACTCAGAAACCTTCTCCGGTCTCTGGTCTCAACCCCCCCCCCAATAATGACAGCACCCCAAATCCTCAAAGTTGTCTGCATCTTGTGGCTTCCCAGCATTCTTAGAAGCTGTGTTTCCCTGGCTGACTGCCTTCCTAAAAGACAAAGAAGAGAAGGAACAAGGCGGCGGGTGGGAGGGAGGCTTTGATATGTGTGTGAGGGAGCAGTTACTTACAGAGGCCTGGGTGGTGGTGGTCTGTTGCGGGGTGCTGGTGTTGGGGGAGCTGGCCTGTCTGCTGGCTGCAATTGTAGCCTGCAAGAGAGATTGAAACAGAAGTGAGTATCTGGAACAAACTATTGAATCCAGCCCAAATATTTGGCTTTGTCGGAACACCTAGTCCCATCATCATCTTCTCCCACTCCTGAGAACAGGAGCACAACCTAACCACTACAAATCTCTGCCGTGCCCTACAAATCAGGTGCAGCAACTCAGGAAGGTACTTCTTCCCCAACCAGTTCAGCCCTATATACTATCCAAGGCAGTGGACAACAGACCCTTACAGTGCATGACCTCCAGTCCTTCCACCCATGGGTACATACCCTACTGTTGCCCCAGCTTGTCACGCTACACACTGCAACCCTCATCCTGATGCTGCAATCCACTGTTAACACCCAGATGTTCCCCGCAATATTAGCAATTTGCTGGGCTAGTCAGGCAGTTTAGTAACAACGCAATGATAGCACTCCAAGTAACAAATTTCAGATTACAGCACATACGGTTCGTGGAGGAATGTAAATATTGGCAGATTTCCACCCCACCCCCCATGATCCCATGGGAATTCCACTGTACGAGTTTAGTTAGTTTTATAACTAAGTTTTGTGCAAAACTGGTGAGAGGATTCTATTCCCTCTGTGCTGTAAAACTGCAGGTAGGGATTTTGAGAACAAGTAAATCCTGTACTAACAGCCAAGGAGCACAGCTCCTGACAGAGCTATTGTTACACAGACAGAACTGTATTCTCATCACACATAATCCATCTTCAACTGATGATAAAGTCTGGTAGGTGAGCAAAGTTGCTAAAGAAAAAAAATATCACTCAACAATTACTCATCATAAAATATCTCAATTTGTATAAACATATCTCAGTTAAAGAAACACCCTCCTGGCTGGACAAGATCTACCCCAGATCCCTCTTGCTAGTAACTGGTAAAGAAAACACGAGCTACTAAGTTTCAAGACAGAAAATTCAAAGGATACCACCTGAAATTTCAGGCACACAAGACCATGTTTAATCTCAGACAAGTAACAATCCATGCTTCACTTTAATATAGTTTTTAAACACTACTGCATCCACTGCTGATTTAAGCGCCCATCTTTTATTTAAAGAAGGTGCAGGGGCTAGTCATAGGCCTCTGAAGTGTAAGTTTCCTGATGGGGATGCTAAATTTTATCTTCCCCTGCTCTGTCCCTGAAAACCAAGTGAATCTTTGCATCAGGCTTCCAGTTTACTAGCTGTTTGTATTAGCTTTAAACAACGTGTTTAGGGACTCATTGTCTCACGATGGATCAGGATGACCTTGGTGCACAAGTCACTGTATAAAGAGAGGATCTCTGGGTCTTCCCCAGAGAATGATCCAATTCCTCTCCTTCTCTCCACTGGTAACTCACCTGCTGGACAGCAGCCAGGCTGTGAAGCTGGGCACTGTTAAGCTGCTGCTGGAGCATAAACTGATGAAAGTACTGGGCTGCATTGGGCTGTCTCTGGAGTGCCTGCAGGGCCTAGAGAAAGAGGAAAACCCAATTGTCAAAAATAGCGTGCCCTTGAAATGTGATTAGAGAGAGCAATGAAGAAATAATAACAGCCATGAGACCATCCCTAGACCTCATGAAAAAAGCAAAGTCACTAGATTAGCACATCAAAATACATAGTACAGCTACAAATTTGCTAACTGAGTGAATCACAGGTGTATTCCAGGACAGTGGGAAGCACACTTGCAAGACTAATAAACTCCAGGAATTTGGGGATGTGTGTGCCCAAGCAGGCAGACAAGTGTTCCAGTATAGTATGTATATGGAGGATATACACTGTAGAGAGAAACTGGGATGATAAACTGAATGACTTGCTCTAGAACAGCATGCTAAAATCAATCTATTGGATCACAGTACGGATTAAATCTAAGAGGCTGGACCCCGGAGGAGTAACCTATAAAACATGAAGCACAGTATCAGGCTACAGGAACCAAACATTGGGCCTAGCACAAGAATTTCTAAATCTTAAAACATGACAGCCCTTCGAGCATCCTCCCACCTTGACGCACGACAACTCAGACGAACACGAAAGGGCTCACCACCACCTTCCACTGATGCACATGCCACCCCAGAACATAACCACGTCTCACCTGTACTGCCTGTCGCTCATAGAGAGACATCTGCGATATCTGAGGACGGGTGCTTCCTCCAGAACTGGAGCTCCCGCTGGTGGAGCTGGAGTTCTGCTCACTTTCAGTCTCCATGGTGACAGGATCCCAGGAGCTCAGGCTGAGAGGGACTCCAGACCTACATCGAGAGAATTGGAAACTAAGTCAGGCTAGAGAAAGAACCAAACCATATTTCACCGCATTACGTCGCTTTTTTTACTGGAATATCCCAGTACCAGGCTCCTTGCACAGCTTTGCTACATCACAGGGGACCGGGGATGCCAGGGTTCTGAAATCACCCAGAAATTATACTTGTGGTTTAAATCTTTTATTACCACAGTCAGAAATGTAACACACACATTCTCATGTTTTTATTGCCATGCCCCAGTTGGAAGCTACAGCATCCTGAACTCTTAAAAAGGCAGCAGAGTGAAGGAGCAGCTGCAGCTCATTCGGACAATCATTTGGTTACAGACCTGATCACCTCTCCTTCAAGAGAGGCTAGTGAAGCGAGGCGAACTGCACTGTGCTTCCAGTCTCCCACTGCACTTGGCAACTTCTGATCCTCTCTTCCTCCAGTTGCACAAGAGGTATAATTATCCCACAACTCCACTGCCCTGCTTGCAGATATACCAACTCAGTCCCTCCTTCTCCCAGTTTAGCCCCCAGCCCTCGACTGTTTCTTTCTTTCTCTCATCACATGGACCTTTCCAGCTACTTCTTGTTCCTGACAGATCGTGGAACTTGAACTTTAGACTGGAAGCTGGTATTTGTGGTGGCAAGTTGCTTTCAGGAGGAACAGAGTCAGAAGCGGACTGGATGAAGGGTTCACTGGCAACACTTGTGAGGGGAAAGCTGCTAAAGAGGTCATGCAGAGCCAGACAGATCTTTCAACAGCAGAAGGATGAGTTGCAGTGAACCACAGGACTGAGAAAGGACTGGAGTAGGCTTTCATCAGCCAAGAGGAAGAGAAGCGAGACTGAAGACAGTGCTTAGCAGAAGAGTAACACATTGGGATGATCAGGGACTTCCCTGCAGCAAGGAACATGGGCTACACAGGGAGTAACGGGGTTAGAGTCAGAAAAGGGAAAGAGCAAAACTGATTATTCAACAAATTCCACTGCAAAAATGACTTTTTAGAAGGATATCATTCCATGTAAGATTAAAAAAAAAAAAAAATGCTTCTGATAGTCTCAGTATCACTGACAGCCTGTTTGTTTCCAAAACACCAGCTGGCTCCCCTGCAACATATCTGAGAGAGTGCTAAATGAGACCCCTAGGCTTCCAGGATCCCACAGCACCAGCACAGCCACTGTATCTAGACCTTTCCAAATCCAGAGATTTCGAGCTTCACAGCCTTAACCAAATACAACTTTTTCCAGGTGCGTAAACAAACAGACCGGCGCAGCAGAAAAGGAGGTGCAACAATAGTCTCAACCAGACAACTTTTTAAATTCTGGAATGGTGTTAAGGGCAGCAGATGACTTTAAAGTATGGCAACAGCATTACCACTGCAGAGGATGGCTGGCTAAATCAGGGAACTGCTGCTCCAAACCTGCTCTTCAAAATCTGGAAAATTCTATAATTGACAAGCAGCTAGCTGCTGCTCCAGTCCCATCTTTCCCGCACATCTTTGCCTCTGCCCTCAAGTCCTGCCCTGGCATCTCCCTGCTAATCCAACACTGCCTTTGGCTGTCGGTAATTGTGCCCTGCAGTCATCTTCTCAACTGAGAGGCACCCCCTCCTAACTGGCCATTACTGTCTTCAGGCACAACTCTATTACAGCTAGAAAGAGTTGGTCAATAAGCCTCTCTAGAATATAAAAGCTCTGGAGAAGGCAATCACCTTAAAGATCTTCCCCAGGGGGCAGCTCCACAAAAAGTAAATGAAGCCTGAAAATAAATAAATTGAGAAGGGAGAGAATACAGACTTTCTGAAAGAAAGAAACTATAGTAGGTAAATTAAGTACTTCAGATGGGGTTAAAATGCAAGTCAGAGTGAAGCTACACATATTACAGCAGGTTATCTAGTAGCTCAGCTACCATTAGGAGACAATTTCTGTGCCCTCACCCACCTTCAACCTCCCCCCTGTGCAGGTTCCTCCCAGCATTTACCTCGCTTCTGGTGCTCACTAGATCAGCTTGGTAAATTTGCAGAAAAGCTGCCCTAAACATCATTTTCTGCCAGATCAGTGAGTTGAATTAGCTCACTTGTGGTGCCAGTGAGAGAGAAAAGAAGGTAACTAAGGTTCAGCTGAGCTGTAGCACATACCCTTACCCTCAACAGCTGCACCAGAAGGAGAAACCTGGCTTCTGACTCGGTGCTCTGCTCCACCAATCTGTGCTTCCTCAGTAAACAGCATCATCGATTCTTAAGATTTCCAGCATTTCTGAGAGTTCCACATTGATAGAGATCTTAAAATCAGGTCCTAGCACAAACAGAATCCTACCGAAACACCTCTGGGATGAGAGGCATCAAAGAATTTTGGTCTCGGTGTAGGCAAAAGACCTGGGGGGGGCATGGATAGAGAAGTGTACTGTCTCCCTTTGTGGAAGGGTGGTAAGAATTTTAACTCAGTCACAGCAAGCAGGGTTATCCAGCAAAACCCTTTCCAAACACAAAAGTCAAAAGACGCAGTATTTCCCCAGGCAAGTTCATCTAAGGATGCAGCTCCATGTTAGTGTAATCCGATCCAAACACAGGCTATTCCCGCACAAAATAGCTCGGACTACACCCTCTCCCCTCCTCCGAGGGCATCTTCCAGCACCCTCCTCTTACAAAGGTCTAGTGATCACCCAGCTATCAGACCGCTTGATTCGGCTAGCTGCTCCATGAGATGGATAACCTACTACAAACGATTAAACCATGGGTTTTCCAAAAGATTGAGTTCACCAACTCACCTCGCAAATGTAAAAAAAACCCAAAAACCCCAACAAACCAATCCAAACCGCCCAAGGTAACGCTGTGGCCATTTCTGGAAATTAACCTTTGAACAACAGCTAGAACTGCACCCCTCAAAAGCAGACACGGAGGGATACAAAGGCCTGTGAACACCACGGCGGGGATGACAGCACAGCAGAAAGGAAGGCAGAAAACCAGCTCCCGGCGCAGTCCGAGCCTGAGAACACGGGCCAGCCCGGAGCATAACCCACGCTGCCGATCTCAGCGTGCGCCAGCGACATCCCAGGTGGCCCCGTCTGCGAGTTCCCGACCTTTGTCAAGCGCAAGAAGAGCAGGAGAATCCGAGCAGACGTCTCCTCCGGTCGCCGGGCACTAGGGAGGAGGCAGAAAAGTTTTACTCGCTCACCCTCCCACCCCATCCATTCCCCCCGGCACGTCACTGCCGGTGCAGAACATTTTCGAACCTTACGACTGGTTTTGCGGCTTCACCCTCGAGAAACCGACTCGAGCAAACAGGTAACGATTGCCACAGGCTGGTTTGGGGAAAAAAAACAAAAACGAGCAACCGGGACTGCAGCACGCTCCTCGCTCTGCTCCTGCAGTTTTTCTACGGCACCGTCTCCGAGCTACGCAAGCAAGAGGCGTGAACCCGCCGGGACACGTTTAACTCTGCTCCGGGATGCTCGGGAAGCAGCAGCAGCAGCAGTCGGTGCCACCCTCCAGCACCGCGGGGGACCGCCGCCCCGCCGGCTCCCCCCCACCCCGGTAACTCCAGCGGCAAAGTTAAGCCGACAGCGACCGTGCTGCCGCCCTGCCCTCCGCACGGAGGTACCGTGCGGGCAAGCCCCGCCGCGGCGGGAGGCGGGGATCCGCCGCAGGATGCTCGCCGCGGGGAGATCGAGAAAGGCGCGTCTTTAACGGCGGCGGCCGGGGGGGGGCGGGGG